GACGTTTGGCCTTCGGGCCATGCTCTGTATCATTTGCTCTGTCCACTTGAAAATGCATATATCCGGCTTCACTTACTGCCTTTTCCACCCGGTGGGAAGTCTCGGGACACTACACATACTTCGGTTACGACCAGGCTCATTGACAGGTGTCATTTGGACCGTGCAAGAAGTCACTATCTCCTACCGTTTTGTGGTGTACATATACGTCCATGCGTTCAACTGAAAGGTGTAATATATACTAGATTGTTTAAGTGGACTTTTACAGGAGAGAGGCGGTAACCGATTTAGAAGGCTAGTCACGCGCGCAGAGACCGTGAAGAGTCTCTCTCCGGTTGATATCTTCTATTCGGCCCATCTGTACTCCATTCCTCATTCTTCCTGTATCTAATGTCGAATAAATCGTCTGCAACTAATGTTCTCATGAAGTCCATGATTCAAGGACATGAGGATAGGCAGGCAGTTCCTACAAAAGGGTATACCTTTTCTCGCTAACGGAGACTCGAATCATTTTAAGCTACAATGTGATGAGAATGCATGGTAATTTAATGTGAGGTGCTTGCCGATTTGTTTTTTTTTATGATAGAATTTCATATATCTGCCCAAATTGGGCAACAGTGTAAATAACCGAAGGTCATAAAGCAAAATCTTACAGTATATTCAAATCTTGGCCTAAATTAGCGACCATCTCCACCAGTACTCCGAGTCTCTTGTCGGCAACAGTAATGTTTTGGTGATCTTAGGGTACTTTATAGAAGTTGATGGGCTGAACATTCGGTAAAGCTGCAATCTGATCCAGAGATCCTTTCGTAATCAAACATAAGACCCAATGCAGGTCTCGTTTCCAAAATTACTTTCGAGTATTTGTAATTTCGTTTAGACATTGTGATTGCGATGGTGCTCTAAACACATATGGTTTTACCAAATCTCCGAAAAAATTCCTTTATTTTCATTGGTCAACTGATCGGGTTGGTTTCCTGCTGGCCTGATTCTGTCGGCAGATGTGACTTCATTATTGTCTCAACGGGGCTAACTTTGTAGTTTGGTCACTCGAAAGCTAACTCTCGAAGTCTAGAGCATTCAGTATCTGCCTGCCAACATCCAATATGTTAGGAGTATTCGGGCGTGTTATTGGCGCTGATTTAGTGGATGGCACCGAGCACTTACTTTATTCAGATTGGCACTGCTCTGTCTTCATGACCAGTAACTCCTTTGGTTTTGGTCTAGATTTTTAGGTGACGGGACTTACGTGTTTTGTGATTCAGGAAAGTTTTTATTGCCCTGTATACCACAGCAATGTTGTTCAAACACATCTGAGCTGTTCATTTTATCTAAAAGCGGCGCTATTCTCTCTTTCTCCAAGTCGCACCATGAGATTATCGCTGCTACAACACCTACTTTTCGATCGATCGCTGCTAACGATGACGAATTGTACTGCATCACAGAGGATGGAATTCTCTTTGTTTATTCGCTAACCGATTTTCCTGGTAGTCTTATTGCGCATCAACCTCTCTCAATGAAGATAAAGAGTGTGGTCTGCGGGCCAGGATTCGCCCTATTCTTGACTCCCTCTGGAGCTGTATTCAGCAAGGGAATTGGCACGTAGGTACAAGATGAGACACTATCAATGAAGTCGAGGCCAATTAGGTCATGGGGATTTAGAATCGCGCACAACACCAGAGCTGATTGCTGCCCTTACGCCTGTAACTGTTGTCGCTATTGCATGCGGGAATTGGCACTCCGTTTGTCTAACAGGTGCGTATGCTGACTTTAACACTACTCGAGTTAACAGACACGGGAGACATTTATGCCTGGGGATCAAACGAATTCGGTCAGTTGGGTTGTCCATCTCTCAACTTAGATCGATCAAACAACCTAAACGATCCCACCCTCTCTTCTGATGCATGCATCAATCTGAGTGCACTTCCAGTGCCCGTCGACCTTCCCGAAGATGTATCTATAGTGGCGGTAAGAGCTAAACTTGCGGATGACTCATTATTCGTCATAGATCGCTTGTGGAAGTCGTCACACCGCCTGCTTGTCTGCACATAAGGAACTACTCACTTTTGGTTGGAACGGTTTTGGACAACTGGGTTTTGGCCCGAACGAACAAGAAATGCCGGGTCGATACCCTCACGAAGGAGCCTCCGACAAAGTTAACCGAACAAGTCTACCCTTTTCATCCCATGCCGAGTTGTCTCTTAGTTGTGGGTCATGGTGCACAATTGTGAGGCCGGTGGAATGAATGTTAATATGATTGGCTAGATGTTAATACAATCTACGTAACCTCAAAATCTGTTGCCTATTCTCCCCTGTAATCGGTGACATGGACCAAGAGTGGATTTGCTCACCACGGAGGGAAGTACGCAAGGCTGTTTTTTGGCAGAATGACGTGTGACTATACCTACTACATATAGTGACATTGGAAGAGTTATTCTGTTCTATAGCTTATTTACACGCAAAGTATGCGTTCTGGATTTGAAGGAGATGGAGTGATTTGCAAAAAAACAAGTAAAGTGGGATGAGGGATGTTTGTGTGCAGATGCACGCAACGATTATATGTACCCTGATATATCACAGATGATGTGGGGTAGCCATGCACATCAAATACATGTGAATTATAACGATGGGACAACCAAGGGAATGTCTGAACGCGCGACCACGAATGACTGTACACACTCGACGTCTCGGTTTACCGTTTACTGTACACTTTTTGAGAGGCAAACCGAAGGAATGGGAGAGTGGTAGAGCCCAACCTCTCGAGAGGGAAGAAGGGAATTTACCCAAGGGGCTTTTCCTTGGCTCGCGAAGTCCAAGACGCACTCCAGCTTGACGGGAGGTAGTTGAAGTGGAATTTCTTCTTATCCGCTGGTTTCAAAATCTGAAAAAGTTATAATGAGACCATCGAGAGCAAGTGGACTCTGCGAACATGGCATAAATTTGTGTATGAACTCGATTTGAGGCCAAGGAGGAAAGCCACATAATACTGTTAACCGCAAAGCAGATTCAGTAGAGGTAGTACAACGTGCGCTGCCAGGTCCCATTGGCGAGAGGCGCGAGAGCAAAGGCATCACAGACAAGACCAGCACTCCACCACCAATTACGTCGCCACTGTCAGTGAAAATCTAGCTCTGGGTCATCTCAATGCAATCACTTGATGCATTGGAGGCGTGACGTTCGAAGGAGCGCCGCACAATCACACAAATACCTTTCACGGTGAAGAACAGAATTCTGGTTATTCACTCCATTGGTTTGTAGATACATCGTGGTTGTTTATTGCTAAGGGATCTATGAAGCCGTCCGATAAATACCATGCTAATCAAATTTTAAGCATAGAAGCGTGGATAGATGTGAAATGCCGATGAAACATGAAGGCTGCATGGGTCCTCTAGGCGAGGATACACCTGACGTGGTGCGCATGTGGAGAAAGGTGAGCACAGCCAACTTTCATGATGATGACGTAAGGCAATTAGCAGATGGAAACACGTGTTATAGACATGCTTGTAATTGCCGTAGCCGATAAATTACAACGACGCCGTAATAAATTATCTGGAAGAAAGAGATCATTGCTGAGCATTAGGCATTTTGAGTTACAACTATTACACTATAGGACTTGCTACATAAGGAAAAAATGTACTAACAGAAAAGCTGCTTATTATTGCCATTAGAAATTTGTACATTACCTCAACAAATGAGAATGAAGATCCTAACTAGGGATATAATTTGCCGGAGACAGCAAACTGCAATCAAGCAACAATAAAATTGTCCATCGTGAGTGAAGAAATAAAACTCTCCACGGTTCACAAACGGGTGAAGTAACATTATCAAAGCCTTACGTATGCATTTTATTTGAAACGGATTGAAGTGCAAGAGGTTAAATACAGAAAACGAACTGCGGAAAGGATAGGAAGACAAGGTATTGTAATGGAAGAATCCATATGCGACTGGTTAATGTATCATCTGAAATTTCATTAAATAGG